AGACCTGCGACTCCAGATACAATACACTTCCTGATGCCTGGCTCTCTGGGCCCTCTAGTTAACTCTGATGTTTCTCTTTGAGTCTGCTGCTGCACAGTGTCCCCATTCATAGCTGAAGCCTGACCCTTCCCCACCGCACCCTCTCTCAGGTGAGCCTGAGCCCTCCATCCTTTCTGCCTGCCTGCCATGGACAGCCCTGTCCCTGCAGCCTCTGGCCTGCACCAGCCAGGCTCCATCCTGTGGGTGTGGTGAGAACCCAAGCTCCACAGTCCTCAGGATGTGCTCCTCACTTCACTGCCTCCCTCTCAGCTCTGGTTCTCAATGTTGGCGGAACATGAGAACCACGTGGGAAGTTTCTAAGAAATACCGAAGCCCAGGTTCTCCCCCGGAACAATCAGAGCAGAATGTCTGGGGCGAGGGCCAGGCATGAACTGCCTACCTGACTCCAGTGTGTCAGGGCGGAGGATCCCTGTGCTGAAGGGACCTTCTTCAGCTCTAACGTGCACAGACTGTCTAAAGATCTTGTTTGAAATGCAGATTCTGACTCGGCAGCTCTGAAAAGAGCCCGAGATGCTGCACATCCAACGAGCTCCAGTGGGATGCATGGTCACGCTGAGCAGGAGGCCCGAGGGGTGGGGTGTGAAAGTGGGATTCACTGATTTTCTACCTCAAAGTGAAGTAGAAGGTCCCTTTAAAGCTGGAAAGGGACTTCGGGAAGAGTTAGAATAAAGGTTCCCAGTGGTTCTCAACCTTTCTAATGCCGCGACCGACCGTTTAATACAGTTCCTCATGTTGTGGTGACCCCAAGCATCAAATTATTTTCGTTGCTACTTCATGACTGTAATTTTGCTACTGTTAATGAATCGTAATGTAAATATCTGTGTTTTCCCATGGTCTTAGGCTCTACAGCAGCGGTTCTAAAGGGTCGAGAACCACTGCTATGGAAGGAAAGGGGAATTTTCTGCTAATGTGGAAATAGAAGCTCCTGTACCTACAAAATGTGACAGGATCCGCTCTCACAAGTGAAGTGCCCAGCACATAGTAGGCTCTCCACAAACGGTACCTGTGCTCCTTATTGTATCAGTGTTTTTTTATCATCATCAAAGCAGGACCCTCACTCACTCCACTTCCCAAACCAAGCAGGTATGGGCTTCCGATGTCCAAGACCCTGACGACGCTGGACAAAGCCCTACACAGCACCTTCCTCTGCAGAGGGGGCAGAGGCCAAGCACAGAAAGGCTTGGGTCTAGGGCATTTCATTACAGACACAGCCCCATGGACCCCGGCTAGTCACAGGGTGCCAATGCCTTTGTTTCCCTCATTGATGATTCATTGCCCTGGGTGGTGGCTACCCTTCCACAACCCAGTCATGGCGATCACTGAGTGGCTGCTCCATGTCAGGAGCATTAAGTGCTCTTGGTGTCACTAATTCTGTCCCCAAAAAAACTCTAGGCAGCAGGCAGGGTACAAAAGCAAACTGAGGAGAGCTCATGCCTTCCGGAGCTTCTCAAACTTTACTTGCTGAATTCATTCAAATGCAGAGTCCAGCTGTGGCCGGGTGGCCCAGCTGGCTGGAGTGTCATCCTGTACAACAAAAGGTTGCAGGTTCGATTCCAGGTCAGTGTACATACCTGGGTTGTGGATTCAAACCCTGGCTGGGGGGTGTAGGGAGGCAACCGATCAATGTGTCTCTCTCACATCAATGTTTCTCTCTCTCTCTCTCTCTCTCTCTCTCTCTCTCTCTCTCTCTCTCTCTCTCCCTCCCTCCCTCCCTCCCTCCCTCCCTCCCTCCCTCCCTCCTTCCCTCCCTCCTTCCGTCCCTGCCTCCCTCCCTCCCTCCCTCCCTTCCTCTCTTTCTAACAAAATCAACAAAAACCTATCCACGGATAAGGATTTTTAAAAAATGCAGTTTCCATTCAGCAGGTGAGATAGAGCCTGTGACTGCACTTCTCACAAACCCCAGGTGATGCTGACGAGGCAGGTCCATGAACAATATTCTGAGGAGCAAAACCACCCCTAAGCTCTGATGCCTTCTGGTATTTCTGGATATCTTCCTTACGGTGCCCCTAAAGGACTTGCCAACCAAACTCATTGATAAACCACAGCCAATGGCAAAATCACAGTCTTTATCCACTTTGAGCATTTGAGCCAAGTTCTGTTTAAATTCTGCTGAAATTGGAGAGAGAGGATATCAACTGACAAAGAATGTCAACTATTTGGAAAAGCTGTTGTGTCCATCAGAAGCTGTAGATATTATGGGTTGTTGTGAAATTGCTTTTCAATTTAAGTGCTTTCTGGGCCAGGGAAACAACCCTCACTTCTAAAAGTAAAATCAAGCGTTCCAAACCGGGAAATACAGAAAGGATTTCTCCGAACATGGGAGTGAATCATGTAACTATAAGCTTTCTTTCGGTCTCAAATCACTAGAGGAGAGGATGTATATAGAAACAAGGAGAAATGATAAATCTTTTCTGCCCAGTGAAAGGCATTAAGAACACATCAACACTGTCTACTTAATCGGTCCTGACTCAGTGGCTGGAAACCAGCTTGCCTGTGAGTGAGACAGAGAAAATTGGAGCAGACAGGGGTGAAGGTAAACGTCCAGGGGTGCTTTGGATGTCAGAGACCGGAAGATCCAGAACTGCAGACAAGGATCTGGAGCAGCCTGACTTCAAACCATGAATCTTCAAGGACACAAATGCCCTACTCAAGGATGGTCAAGGGACCAAGGTCAGATTCCTCGGTGATGTCTGATCAGAAGGATTAGTGAGAGCAGCCCCTTATGTAATATCCATAGCCCAGTCCTCAAGCTTTGCTCCACATTAGTATCACCTGGGAAGCTTTAAACACCAAACCCTCCCTCTCTCCCCGCCCTCTGCAATCCACCATCCTCAGGCACCCCCCCCCACACACACACATCAATTGAATCATGATCTCTGGGTTTAGGGCCCAGGTACCCTTAATTTTCAAAGTTCCTCATGTGGTTCCCCAGGTGGCTCCAATGTGCAGCCAAATGTGAGAACCACTGGCACAGCCTTTCAGTGTCCTCTCTCATAGCATGAAAGAATCCCTCTGGACCAATGCTTCACCCTGTCGGTGTTAAATCACCGTAGGGAGACTGTTCAAAGTACTGATGCCAGCAGCATCCCTGGGAATTCTGGCTAATTTGTGGGGCCCAGGGACCAGTACTTGTAACAGCTTTCCAGGTGATTCTAAAGTGCATGTGGGTAGGTAACTACTGGCCCAGGGGTGAGTGCGTGTGTGCATGTGCGTATTTGCCAAAATTCCTTCTATTGCTTACATTTTAAGCATCAATGACATCAAGGCTAAAAATGCATCTTAGATTTTTTCTAAAGGTGGATCTCTCATCTTTAATTTGAAATCAGGGATCTCTAACTTTGGAAAGGTCCATAAATTCCCTTAAATCCTATGCAAAATGTAGGTATTCATATATATGTATATTTTCTAAGGAGAATGTCCTTAACTTTAATCAAGATTCTCTAAAGATTTAATGCTATTAAATACAATTATGTGGTTTCTGGTTTAATAAATTTAAGAAAATTCAAGAATGAATGGAAAATAAATTTGATCCCAGTGGCATATTAACTATAATTTTGAATCTGCAGCACACCCACTCCACTGAGCTGTGTCTATCCTAATTGCAGGTTTAGTCCACACTATATGCAGCCCATCCTTTGAAAAGAGAAATGGATGTGAAGATTTCAGACCCAAGTATCAAAGTGGAAGCCCTGTCACAGACTGGGGTCAGTACTCGGCTGTCTGTTAGAGCTCATAATGAGAAACTACTTCCCCTTGTAAGGAGACTGTCCACTCAGACACTTTGGACTCATGACCCTGTTGGGTTAGGATATTAAGATTTTCTAGTCCCGAGTACAGTTACCTTTAGCCCGGGTTTCTTTCTAACAACCCTGTCTTTGGGAAACATACCGAACCATTCTATTCCTCATGTGAAATGGGAACAATATAAATACTTTTAAAATTGCTGTAAAGAATAAGTAAGAAAAACACATAAAATGCTCAGCAAAACACTTGGCACAGAGCAAGATCCAATCATGAGAGGTTATATCACTGTCATTACTGATGTCCTATTATTAATACCTTAGTGACCTGTCCAAGTTGCAAAATTTCCCTGAACAATAAATTTCATTTATTGTTTCATACCACAAGGGGAGTGAGCCCTGCTCACAGTTGCAGTGATGACCGAGCAGAAGAGCAGACGGTATATTGCTATTCCATGGCAACTCATCATCTACCCAGCCTTCGCCAGAGCACAGGAAAGCGTCACCCCACAACCCACACAGAACCCCTACCCTGAAGTGTTGGGGGTTTTTTTGTGTGGTTGTTTGTTTTGCTGTTTTGTTTGTTTTGAGATTCTAACAGTTGAGAAGTTTTTACAATGACTGCAGCAATTTCTTATCACATTGCATCCCAGTCGGCCTAAACCCCTCCCCCCCCATGGGCTGGCGGGTGACCGGGTGACCGTTCACCACAACCTCCCTTTCAGGTAAGAGGATTCTGCCAACCACTCTCTAAGTCACAGATGCCCTAAATCCGTGGTGGGCAAACTGCGGCTCTCGAGCCACATGCGGCTCTTTGGCCCCTTGAGTGCGGCTCTTCCACAACATACCACAGCCTGAGCGAGTCTATTTTGAAGAAGTGGTGTTAGAAGAAGTTGAAGTTTAAAAAATGTGACTCTCAAAAGAAATTTCAATAATTGTACTGTTGATATTTGGCTCCGGTGACTAATGAGTTTGCCGACCACTGCCCTAAATGAACAGCCCTCCTCTGGGCGGACACGCATTGGTGGAGTCTCCACCACACCAATCCCTCCACAGGGGGCAGATCCCTGACTCCCACAAGCCCAGCTGCCCATCAGAGTCTGACAGCACGGGCTCCTCGACCTGCCCCACGAGAGCAGCGACGTCACCGACACCTCTCAGCACCTGAGCAGAGACCCACGGCACTCAGCGCCCACTTACCTGGCGGCGGCTTGGCTGTGCGCACAGGGGTGTAGTGGTTTTTGGAGGTGGATCTGACCGGCGTGCTCTCCTTGGGGGAGGTATCGATGGCCGAGATCGTTTCTCTTTCACAGTGTGCTATGGGGATTGGTCCCTGTTGTCTCAAGATGTCAGCCAGAGCCCTAAACGGAAGGAGACAACACAGTGAGGTTCCCTGGGCAGGTGGGCAGCCACGAAGGCTTCCGACGTGCAGAGGCGGGAGGAGAGGGACCGGGGCACCCAACTCATACCTTTGCCTCCCCCGGGGCTGGGCTCAATGGGAATGCAGGCTAGAGGTTGCCATGCTGACAACCAGAACTCTGAGCGCTTTCAAAATACTGGCTTCCCCTGCCTCACTTCCCGCTGTATCTAGGGCCACTGGCCAGTGGCCGTCACTGCAGCCGGACTGACACCGTGGGCCTCACGTTCAAGCAGCAGGTTGCTGATATCAGAGTGAACACTTCCCTATTGAAAAACACGCACCCAGTAGCATGTGCTCTATTCTGGTGACCCAAAAAAATGTATGATTTAGCTGCCATGACAGGTTGTACAGATGAAAAGGTATGGGAACACATGGGTGGTACAGAAGGAACACAACTGGAGCCTGAAGGGGAGAGCCATTGCAGGTGCAGGGAGGGAGATGCGCAGGAAGGAGAGAGGCGGGGAGCGGCTGCTGGTGCTGCAGAGGCCGCCCCTTCTGCAAGAGGCCAGGGACCCTCGAGAAGCTTCCCTCATAGATTCACTCCACACGGAGCCTCATTATCCAAACCCACATTCACTGAGCACTCAGCCCTCATCTGGCCCTGCAGAGACAGAGGCAAACAGGACCCAGCCCCCGCCCTAGGAGGACTCACAACTCAGGGGAAATCACCCCACAGCCTGGTTTCAAACAGCACTCACTTTGGGGTGTGACATAGGAGGTAGGCAGTGCGGACTGAAAACAGAGACACACAGGGGTACTATGGAGAGACAAAGGTGAGTGTGGACAGCATCAAGGGTCCATCATCTGGATATTGTCCCTCTAGGGCCAGGTCCCCTGGTCTGAGGGAACCCCTGTCTTGCATAAGCTGGGCAAGAGCTCTTCCATCTACTCGGGGTGTCCCTGCGGTGTGAGGCGAGGCGACACAGCCAGCCCAGCCCGGCCCCAGGCAGCTCCCACACTCTGTCCCCTTGGGAAGTGACAACCATGGCAGTTTAAAAGCACGACTGAGAGCGGTTTGCTTCCTTCCATTCTGCTGCCTCTGACACGCTGACCCTTCCTGGGAGAAGAGCATCAAACCGGCAATCTTATCATTCGGTGGCATTTACACAGCAATTTCCAATTTTCCAACTGCTTTCCCCTCGCCTCGCCGCTTTCTTTCCTCCAGTGGAAAAGGAAGGCAGGCACACGCCACCCCACATACACACTCACTGCAGGGGACCCAGCAGTGAGGGAGGACACACAAGCTCACTAGCTTGGTAAAGGAGATTCAGGCAGACCTGTGGTCCAGGTCAGAGACCTGAGATTTAGGGCCTGGGAAAAAGGGAAAAATTGCCTTGATGGTTGAAGAGATTTGGGTTCTAATCCCAACTCTGCCACTGATGAGCTGTGAGCCTTTGGGAAGATTTGTTCATCTCTAGCATTATAATGTATAGAGAACAAACAGACTGACAGCTATCAGAGGGAAGGGGGGTTGCGAGGCTGGGTGGGAAAGGTGAAGGGATTAGGCAAAACAACAACTCATAGACACAGACAAGTGCATGATGATGACCTAAGGGGAGGGCGTTAGGAGAGAGAGAAGAAGATGTGGGAATATAAGGGAGATAAATGGGGATGGAAAGAGACTGGACTTGGGGTGGTAGACACATAATACAATATACAGATGACGTATTACAGAATTCTACACATCAAATCTCTCTAATTTTTCTAACCAATGCCAACCCAAAAATAAATAAATAAATAAATAAAATTTAAAAGTAATATCTCCCCCCTATTAGCAAAACAAGGGTTTACAGAAGCAGGATCTCTAACATACCTTCTAATTTCAAAATGTGATAAATATTTTGTTTTGTTTTTTAAGCCACACACATGTGCAAGTTAGCAGATTCCTTCATCCTGCTGTTGATCAACCTCACCTTCCCACCACCTTTCCATGGAAAGAAAATAATGATGAGCTAAAAGTTATAGCAGAAATACAGACCGATGGAATAGAATTGAGAGCCCAAATGATTTTCAACAAGGGTCCCAAGATAGAACTCAACTGGGAAAGAACAGTTCCTTTAAGAAATGGTGGTTGGACAACTAGATATTTGCAGGTAAAAGAATAAACTTGGACTCTTAATTAACACCATATATAAAAATTAACTCATAATAGATCATAGGTCTAAATACTAGAGCTAAAACTGTAAACTCTTAGAAAATATGGAAATAAATCTGTGTGCCATACATTTGGCAGTGGTTTCTTAGATATGACATCAATAGCACAAGCAACAGAAGAAAAAAAAATACATTGAACTTCATCAAAATTAAAAACTTTTCTAACCCTGACTGGTGTGGTTCAGGCTTAGAGCGTCAGCCCAAGCATCAGAGTCATGGGTTCTATTCTCAGCCAAGGGCATGTACCTGGGGTGCAGGTTCATGCAGGAGGCAGCCAACTGATGTGTCTCTCTCACACACGTCTCTTTCTCTCTTTCTCTCTCTCTCTCTCTGTCAGTCTTTCTCTCTCTCTCTCTCTCTCTCTCTCTCTCTCTCTCTCTCCCTCCCTCCCTCCCTCCCTCCCTCCTTCCCTCCCTCCCTCCTCCTCTTTCTCTCTCTCCCCCTTCCTCCCTCCTTTCCAGTCTCTCTAAAAATCACTGGGAAAATATGCTCAGGTGAAGATTAACAAAAAAAAAAAAAAAAAAAAAAAAAAAAAAAAAAAAAAAAAAAAACCTCTACATCAGAAGACATTCTCAATAAAATGAAAGATAATCCTCAGAAGGGAAAAATATTTGTCAATCATATTTCTGATAAGAGACATATCCAGGCTACATAAAAAATCCTTCAAATTCAGCAATCCAAAACCAACAACCCAGTTTAAAAATGGACAAAGGATATAAAGAGACATTTCTCTAAAGAAGGTAAACATGGAGAGCAGCTCAACATCATTAGTCATCAGGAAAATGGAAATGGAAACCACAGTGAGGTGTCCCTTCAGCGCCACTAAAACATCTGTAGCCAAATGTTGGAGAGGACGTAGAGAAATTAGGGCCTTCTGAAGCTGCTGGTAGGAATGTGAATTGGTGCAGGCCCTTTGGTAAAGAGTTTAGCAGTCCCTCAAAATGTTAAGCATAGTTACCATATGGCCCAGCAAATCACACTCCTAGGCATGTACTCAAGAGAAATGGAAACAGATGTCCACATAAAAGTTGTGTATAAAGTTCTATACGGCATTGTTAATAATTAGAGGCCCAGTGCATGAAAATTCATACACTGGAGGGTGAGTCCCTCAGCCCGCCCTGCCCCCTCTCACAGTCCAGGAGCCCTTGGGGGTGGGAGGCAACCCGGCGATCAGGGGATGCCACTGCAGACAGCAGAAGCCTTGGCCAGTCCTGGTTACCTGAGCTCCAGGCAGCCCTGGGCTGCTGGGCATCCACCAACTGAGACTTTCCTGTGTCTCAGGCTAGCCCTGGGTGGCAGGGGAGAAAGGAGGGGGTGGGGGCGCTGAGGGGATTGGGAAACTCTGAAGGTGGATGAGACCGGCCTTTCTGTGTGCCTGCTGCCCCAGCGGGGCTGAAGGGAGTGAGTGCCACCATCTTGTGGCTATGGATACCACCATGTTTGAGGGCGTGGTAGTCAATTAGCACTTTCACTTCTTATAGGCTGTGGGTGCTGCCATCTTTGAAGGCAGAACATTCAATTAGCATATTCCCTCCTTATTGACTGTGGGTGCTGCCATCTTTTGAGACAGCATGAGGATCAATTAGCATATTCCCTCTTTATTAGATAGGGCAGCCAAAAAGTGAAAACCACCTAAGTGTACCTCAACTGCTGAGTGGATAAACGAAACGTGGTGTATTCACACAATGGCTAATTATTCAGCCTTAAAAAGCGATGCAGAACTGACACATGCTACAACATGAATAAACTGTGAAAGCATCATGCTAAGTGAAAGAAAACAGTCACAAAAGACCACATGTTGAATGACTCCACTTTTATAAAATGTCCAGATTAGGCAGATCCACAGAGGTAGAAAGTCCATTTGTGATGACCAGGGGCTAGGGGAGTGGAAATGAAAAGTGACTGACAATAGGTATAAGATTTCTTCTGGGGAAAGTGAAATGTTTTAAAATTAGATAGTAATGATAGGTAGCTGGACAACTCTAAATGTATCAAAATGACTTTAAAGTTTAAGGACAAATTATACTGTAAGGGAATTGTATTTACCAAGAAAGGTTTATATTATTTTTCCTTCTTTCTTTGCCTTGTGGACTCCTACTGTCTGGTGCCCATGAAGGAGTATGGATTCTCATGGTTAAGTCACTGCTTTTGGTAAGCCAAGCTGGAGTCCACATCAGTCGTTTTCCATGGTGATTACGGACAATGGCAACGTCCAAAGACAGTTTTGTTGTCACCACTGGAGAGAGACGTGCTACTGGCATCTGGTGGGGAGAGGCCAGGAGTGCTGCTAACCATCCTTCAACACACAGAACACCCAAAGCAAAGAACTGTATGGCCCACAATGTCATCATGGCAGGGCAAAAAACCTTGGTTTACATCTACACAGCACTAGATGAAACGGGTTTTTTATTCAGACTCAACGCAATCTAGTCTCACAGGTATCTACTGAGTAGCTCATAGATCTGATCTGGGCTAGGCTCTGGGGCACAGTGGAGCTGGGCACACAGAAACCACATCCTGAGGAGGGCCCATGTCTGTCGGGGCCAGCAGTGCATCCTCAGGTCCTGACTCACAGCCCAGCTGTAGTACTTCCAGCCCAGCCTCACCTGTGTCCTTATGAACAGTGGAAATGCCATTTCAGAGTAGATTTGCTCGGAGGCTCATTGGCAAATGAAGATATGGCAGAGAAAACATTCTGAGTTCACCTCTCTCAAGATGGGGAGTCTCCCGGTGCCCACCTCCCAAGAGGCTCTGCAGGACTGGGGCTCCAAAGACTGAGGGGTGAGT